CCCTTCTCTTTCCCCTTAGAACCCAACACGTTTGGGTTCATTTGAACCCAGCAATTGGGTTCTAAGGAACTCAGCAGGCCTAGGTTCGATGGAACCCAGGTGTGGGTTCATTCAAATCTAGGCGCTAGGTTTAGTGGAACCCAACACACCTGGGTTCGATGGAACCCAAGTGCAGGTTCCTTTGAACTCAAGGGCAAAAAAAAAAAATTCTATTTTTTTTTTGTTGGGTTTTGTTGTTTGATGATGATGAAAAATTGATTGATGAAAATGAAGAATTGATTGATGAAGAAGGCAAGGCAAGGCAAGGAAGAGGAAGGAGAAAGAAATGGTGCCTGCTGGGTTCGATTGAACCTAGGGGCTTCTATTTTTTTGTGGGTTTTGTTGTTTGATGATGATGAAGAACCCAGCAAGGGTAGAAATTGGTTGAGACAAATAGATTAGTTGAGATGTTAAGTTTTGTAGAAATTGAAGAAAGGGAAGAGGAAAGAAAGGAATAAAAAAAAATAATTTTTTGGGTGGGATAAGGTGGAATGGTCAGGTCATCTATTTTTGCTAACTTGTCAATTTTTGTGTGACACATAATGCTTCTTTTGTCTTCATCCGTCAATTAACATGAAAAATTAATGAAAGAACCAAATCGGGGTTGAAATGGTAAACAATATGGACCAAATCAGGGATTTTTTAAGTTTAGGGACCAAATTGGGGGTCTATACAATAGTTCAGGGACCAAAATGAGGTTTTAACCTAAATAAAAATTAATTATATAATGATATATCATATTATAAGTTTGGATAAAGATATACACACACTCTAATGTTACACATTTTATTACACCCTAACTATCTCCGTTATGCAAACTAACGGTGTTTGTTACTCAGCCTTTTTTTCTCTCTCCTCTTATTTCTTTGGTGAGAACCCGAGCTGGGTTCTCACGGTGGGAACCCGACTTGGGTTCTCCACAGAGAGAGAGAAAAAAAAAAGGAAGAAGAAAGAAAAAGGTGAGGGAAAGAAGAAGAATGATCGGTGTGTACTTGACGGATTCCGTTAGTGTGTGAATAGATGTGTAACGGCAGAGGGTAAGCCTATCATTGTCCTATAAGTTTATAATGTCACGTAGCATGGAGATTTTTATTTTTTTACAATAACTAAGAAAAGTTCTTGGCTAAATACTAAAATTTAGTCCCTTAACTTTTAATTTTGAACAAATTTCGTTCCTTAACTTTTTTGCACTTTCTTCATCTCTTAACTTTAAAAAAAAAAAAAAAACACTTTTTTTTATCCTTCTATTATAACATCGTCAAGTCTATCTGACATGGCATGCCACATTGACAAAGAAATTGATTATTTAAAAAAAAAATTCCACATGGCATGTTTTGATGAGATGGCAAAATTTTTAATTTTAACAAATTAACATCATAATGAGATCCATATAAATTGAACATTCTAATTATTAAATAAATAAACCTTCAAATTACATAAATACCTTCCCAACTTTATCTTCTACCCTTGTACTCTCCTTTCTTTGCCTGATTATCTTCTTCAACTCCAAATCATCCTGAATTCACAATCAAGCAAATAGAACATACAAACATGCATGCATGTCTACATAGTTTCATCCATTTAAAACATATATATTCAAGATGCAACAAAGAAAGTGAGGAGGAGGTAGAAGATGTAGAGCAAGCTTACTCTTAGGTCTAGGTTCATGGAACCTAGAATTGTAGTTCATGTCGAAAAAAAGGAAGAAAGGAAAGGGAAAGACAGGAAGATTCTCTTTGAACCCAGATTTGGGTTTGAACCAAGATCAACCCAAATCTAGGTTTTCAACACAAAAAATATGGGTTCTCCTCAAACCTAGATATTATGAAGAACTTGTTAAAGTCTTTTCTTTGTTCACCTTCTTCCATGGCTTTCTTTGAATGTTGTACCCAAATTTATTGTTGCTATACTTTTTCTAGAGGTTGTCAATGACTTGGAGGTATGTTTCTACGATGAACTAGGCTTTGGAGA